CTCCCACCAGAAAGAAACGAGAGGAAACAACTCAAAATTGAGACTACCAAAAGTGAAAACAGAAACTGGTCGCAAGATGTTCTCGTTCCAAGGAGCTCTGGTTTTTAACGAACTGCCAGAAGATTTGAGGAATGAGACATCACTTTTACGTTTTAAGCAAAAGTGTAGAAACTTTTTTATGAAAACTGATTAGTGGATTTTTAAATATTTTTATATAAATGCTGACGCCAAAATTTTTTAGCTAATATATAAGTATAGGATAGACTATCTAATTTAAACAGGTCCTTGAGTGATAGCAGCTATTTTTTTTTAGCTGACCAAGTTTAACCTGTATAAATATGGTATATTATTATTATTATTATTATTATGTTTAATATTCGGTAATAGTGCAGATTCCGAAGTCATTGAAAGCAAAAGGCAGTTTAAATAACCTGGATAATTTTGTCAAACTATATATAGGATCTGATCAACATAATTTCAGCGCTACATTAATGACCCTTTCCCTTTTCACTTATGCCGATATAGTGACGTATTTCAACACTGTACGTCAAAGTCACCCCACCGCTCATCCCAATGTGACCAGCGCTTTTAATGTCTTATTTGTGTACTTGGCTATACTGTATATTTGCTAAATGAAATATAACATAACAGTTATTGCGATTTTGAACATACAGTAATATCAATTTAGTCATTTTACGAGTACTCAATGACAAAATATTGATCTAATAAATGTCTTACACTAAAAACCGGTCTAAACAAGAAACAAGTCTAAAACAGTTTATATAGTATTAAACAGTTCATACATTTGTTCGATATATAAATATTGTTTTAACACTTCAAATGCATCTTTAAAAAGTTCTAATCTGAGTGATTTATCCGAGTCGAAGGTTTCAAAATGTTGACAAAAATTTTATCAAAACAGAATTTAAATAACGTATGTACAGGCGACCATACATTACGATTAACATTTCTATAGCCCAAATTTATTACGAAAGTCACTAAACTGTGGAATCGCATAAAAAATTCGTATATCGACCACTCCCACAAACGTCTACGACCGCACCAACATATTTTTGCATGTTTACAATTCTAATTTTAAACAGCCAATCGACGTTTAATTGTAATTGTTACCAAGAACCGGATTGGCAGTTCAAAATTAGAATTGTAAACATGCAAAACTATGTAGATGCGGTCGTAGACGTTTGTGGGAGTGGCCGATATACGAATTTTTGATGCGATTCCACAGTTCGGTGACTTTCGACATACACGTGGATATGATCAACTGCACTTCACATCAAGTAGTACACGTAACTAATTACTTACTTACTTAGCCTAGTCTAGACTATTTTATCGTTACAACAATTGTGATATTACTTTCTTAAACGTGTTTGTCTTAATGCACCCTGTCAACTTTCTCTGACAAAAACAAAAACATCGGGGTGGAAACTAAAATATAAAAATAGGTACGCAACGGGTATATGTGGCTGGCCCTAGTTTGAGTTTTGTGAAAGGCGCTTGTGCTGACGACTTCGCCACCGAAGGCGAAGCCCCATCCTTCACCGCCACTGCAGAAAATATTCGCGAAACATACGAAATACATGCAATCTTAAACATACAAGAATATATCATTTACCTTCGGAATCTCCACAACTCTAGGATAAGCGTAACCTTCACTTGCTGCAAACGCAGCGACTGTTGCCTAGACGTCAAAAGTACAAATGTACACTATAAATACACCGACACTTAGACACTGTAGTCGATCATATATTATCTAGGAAAGAGTTTCAAAATGCCAACTTGACTGTAGCAGCAATTTCACATGATACGCGTCCACTTCATAACAAAAAAAATTGGAGCAATAGCTGTTTTTGACATTTAAGCGCAGTTACTAATTCAATATCAGAAACGTAAACAACTGAACAAAGTCTGGCTAGTCATATGTAGAATAATTGCTGGAATATTGTAGCGTGAGGCGGTTTCTACAAAAACCCGAAAACCGACCAGAAAAACCCAGAAAAAAACGAGTGAACCGGGTTTTTTAAAAATACGTTCGAAAATCGAAACTACGGTAAAAAAGACACAACACGCTACTCAGTACTCGCGCAATATATTAAACGTAAGGTATTTTGAAGACGTTAATAACACAATTAACATAACACTTGCAGAACTAGTATTGTTCGATGCTGAATTAATATAATTCATAATTTCCAGTCTTAAATCCGTCTGACCGTGTAGCTCAGTTGGTAGAGCGTCGATCTAGTAATTCGAAGGTCGCGGGTTCAAGACCCAGCCGCGGCAGACAACATCTTTCTGCTTGCGCTGAGTATGGAAATTATATAATACACACTCTAGAACATTCTCATCTTAACATATTACAGAGTGTACAATAACACAATTAAAATCTCTATAGTTTTTCGTGTGTAAATGCCAAAACTTGATTCATTTGCAACAAACTCGTATAAGTATGGTTCGATTTTAGTGAAATACCGAATTTTCTTTGGGTTTTTTTCCGTTTCCCCCCGTTTTTTTCGGTTTTTCTCCAAAAGTAACATCGAGTATTCCGGTTTTCAAAAAACATCGGTTAAAACCGCCTCACCTTAGAATATTGTTTAAATTAAAAAATAAAATGCATTTATGTCTACTACAATTATCTTTATATGTTAGTTTGGATGTGATTGAGGACGTTTTCGTTTAATATCTCCAGGCATATTAAAGACACAGAGTGTCTCTATGCAAGTGTACACGTAATGACGTAAAGGTGAATGAATTTCATTATGTAAGACAATATTCTAGCAATTCTCAATTGCTAGGTTCTATGCAGGTAATATCTAATGACGTCACCCATACTAGCAAAAAATAAAATTTTGGAAGTGTGACTATTTCTACACTGTAAAAGCGGATTGGTTAAAATAATTCAATTTTTAGTTGTTTTAACCATTTAAAATACTGGTCAAAAGAGTGATACTGGGACAACCAATTCAATTGTTTTTTTAACCAATTTTCCTTTACAGTGTATGACAAATCCTATCATCACACATGGCATCCGCAGAGCAAATTGAGAATTTCGGATGGTTCCATATCAATTTTTATAGTCTTGGCTGTTAGTGACGAGGTAGAGTTTCAAGCTTTTATATATTGTCATAGTAGAGTGTCACGATTTTATCGTCGTCAAGAGCTGGACTACTGTATTACGATAGTTAATTTCCAAACTTTTAAATTTTGAAATAAAATGCTTGAAGAATATAAAAGTTTTTTACTCTTGAAGATTTTAAGAGGATATTTTTGTCTTGAAGATTTTAAGAGGATATTTTTGTCTTGAAGATTTTAAGAGGATATTTAGAGGAGATTTTAAGAGTCAATTTTTGATACGTTTCTTAATCGGCAAACAAACTTTAAAAGGTATATGTTTAATGCTTTATCTGTAAAATAATACCAGAACGAAGAGATTTTAGATGGTACATCAAAGAGAAAATGACCGAAGTTTAGTACCTACTGTATATTTACTTGGCAAGTACTAAAGGGAACAAACAAAAACGTATTTATATATGTACCTTTGCGGTAGCAGAAGCTCGAACTTCAGGACTTCCACCAATGTCTACTGTGTCATAGACATGCTCATATACCTCACGAATTGATGTACAAAACTCACTTTCAAGGACCCTTTGTAGCGCTTGCAGTTTATCAACCGGCACCTCACCACCTTAAAAAATAATGTTAAGGTACAGTAAAACAAGTGTTACAATAAAATGGTAGTTTTCTAGCTGTGATGTGCAGATAAATTTAACAATATAGATACATAGTTACTTAAATCCTGTTTCGCATTGCTATTGTCATGCACTGTTCATATTAACAGAGGTTGCATGGTTGTACTGTTTCTACATGTATATCATGCATAAGCATTCTCAAAAGACGCTGGATGATGGAATATAGGCGAAAAGTCACTCGTTATAATACAGGGGGACCCCAGTGGCATTGCCAGCATTGGCATTGTCCCATGCATATATATTACTATATGTGCCCCATACGCCAAGGGGTGATCGAAGACTGTCGAAAATTGTGGTGGATGCACGGTAGAAATGAGTATAGGGGAAATTTATGTTTAAATAACGGCTTTGCCGTTCCACGATATTTTAATGCAAGCTTTCCCTAATAACTATTGTTAAGTGTTCGGTTTCTTCCCTTTCTGAACGAGGGGCTGTATGTAAACTTTGCGAAACTTTAGTCTCGGGCTCTTGGTTAGAACTACCAGGATCACGTTTGCAACTCAAGAACTCGACTCCAAGCCACTCCAATGAGGACTTGGCGGCATTTCCACGTTTGCGTTTACTGCTCTGCTTTCTCTACGGCAGAGAGGCTCGCAAGAATAATTTTCGGTGAGAACTTTCTCTAAAATACTTTCGATATCGTGCTTTCCAGGCATTTTTTACTTTTTACAATATTCTTGTACAAGGTACACATATTTTCGCGTAACAGTGACTATAGTGTTGTTGCCGTTCACAGCGTATGTAGTCTTGCTTGCCTGCAGCACGTCACTTTCAACTCTTGTGTAGACAGGTTGTTACATGAATCAGGTCTTTCGTCAACTTTTGATTCAACGAGTAAATGGAAAATGGGTAACCATCATGATTTTGGGCATCTGACTTGATATAACTAACTGTTGAAAGGATTTGTAGATGGAAATTTCGAGTGGAATTTATATACATTTATTACACCTAACCAGGAGCAGTTGCGAAAAAATGAAAACTTTGATTTTTCTGTGTTGGT